TGGCTGTTCCCTTCTTTGGTTGCCCAAGGTTACATCCTCAAGAGATTTAACTGCCCGGCTCCCTGATATATCCAAGGGAAACTTTTGGGGACCCCCATGTCTGCTCTTCCCCCTGCAAAGGCGAAGAATAGATCAGCCCGTCTTCTTCCTGGTTGTGGAGAGACCTCAGAGGAGACCTTCTCGGGGAGGAGAGGCCAAACCAGCTCCCTTCCAGGCAGAAGTGCTCTCCAACTCCCTCTGGCTTTTCAGTATGACCTCTCTTTCTCCAGGCCAGGATGGCAGCCCTGTCAAGACTGGCCAGCACTGGAAACATTCCAGATTAGTATTTCTCATCAAAAGGCTTCTTTCTGTCTAAATTATTCTTGTTTTTGTTTGGCTGGTTGGTCTTGTGGGTTTTTTTGGCAAGAGGGAGAGGAGTGGAGAAATTGCCATGCATACCTCTGGGGCCTTGGAGGTTTTGTCTTGAAGTTTGAAGCTGTGGTGATGATTGTCTCTCTGTAAAAAACATCTGGAGGCAAGGAGGGACCTAAGGATGAAAACGGCTGTGACGCTTGCTCTCCTTATTTTAACTTACTCTGTTGTGCAGGGGGAGGATCGACTATGCACTCTGGGCTTGGGCTGCATGAACAAGGCAGTGCTCCACTGCTGGGGTGCTTTGGTGCTTGTGGGTCCCTGGTGTTTGTTGGTGCACGTAAAGTGAGAGAGAAAGAGTGCAGAAGTGCTGGGAGAAATGGCAGAACAGGAGTTAAAAGGCTGGTGTCAGCGTGGCGAGTCAGGAGGCTGAGAGTAGCCATGAAATTCAAGAAAGGCTATTGATAACAGCAAGGAAATGGCAGGTGCTGGGTGGAGTGGTGACGACACCAAGGCCACACCACAGATAAGGCCACAATGCAGCTGGGGAGCAAGAGAAGTGTGATGCAATTCAAGCTGGCCCTGTGCCTGCTGTGTCCAGAGAGTAGGAAGTCTGCAAACAGCACCGTGGTCTCTCACGATGCCAGGGTGTGATAAGGATGCAGCACACCACAGGTGATCGTGGACATTAGAGCAAGGTAGCCACTAGGAAACTTTCTGCCCATCCCAAGGAATAATTTCACCATCTTTTATTTGGGCAGCATGACTGGCAAGACTTTAAACAGGGTCTTCGGGCCTGTGCTTGAAAGAAGAGGAAGGAAAAGAGAAGATCAGTTCACAAGAGGTGGTTTCCCCTTCATTATATCTTAGTGTTTCATTTTAACTTGTGCTGTGAAGGCAGCAGCCTATGAACACCACTGAGGAACCAGACGAGGAAAGATCAAGCCTTAAATTGACCATTTTTGAATCTGGCCAGCTTTTCCACCAAACCTCATGGCCTGCTGCCTCACGCAGAAAAC